GCTAGCTATAAAACCAGGTTTAATCCACCATTTTCTACATAAGGAAATGCATGTACCAAGTCTGAAACATGACAGTTGTATTCCATTCGTTTGATGTGTTTGAGCTTTTGACTTCAATTTTCCTTGGAGTTCGGTATTTTTGTTATTTTACTTTAAAGTCGTCCAATCTGTGTCAATATCAAGAAAAAATCTAAATATGAAATAACCTTTCGAGTTTTGGTAGTATCCTTGAAAGTTCACTGGGATACGTGAAAAGTAAGCATTCACTGAATATGAGTTATTGAGTGACAGTACATCATCAATATATCTGAAAGTTAAATTAAAGAACTTTCAAATATGCAAACACATATATTGCCTCAAAAAGACTTTCCCCTTTTTTTTTGCCTTTGACAAATTGCTGCTGACAGAAATTTAGCTAATAATGCATAATTGTCAATGACATTTTATTATTGTCATATAGCTCTTCAACTGTTTCGGTACTTATACATCCTTCGGATTTCAAATGTTTGGCTTTGAGCGTTCCTGATGAAGGTAAATCCAGAAAAGCTCTTCGGACGCATGGAATTATTAAACGTGTTGTTTTAAATTTTTTACATCACTGAGTCGATACCTCTGCTGGTGGACTATCAGTCCCCGAGTGTATCATCAGCTCAGTAGTCAGTACTTCGGTACTGCCATGATTTATAACAAACCTTTCTAAAATTGTCCGTTTATAAATTTTAAAATTATAAAGAAACTAAGGTTTCAACTCCCTCAGGCAAAGTTGGCCTTAGATGAATTTGGCCCTTTGTTTTATGTATTTTTGTTATATAGCTCTTCAACTGTTTCGGTACTTATACATCCTTCGGATTTCAAATGTTTGGCTTTGAGCGTTCCTGATGAAGGTAAATCCAGAAAAGCGCTTCGGACGCATGGAATTATTGAACGTGTTGTTTTCAATTTTTTATCATATTGTTCGGCACAGCGTGAGCAAATTTAACAGGAATGACTTATATTTTCCTGACTAACTCAGTTATTCTATTCCCATGTTGAAAAGAAATAATCTCTCAAAAAACACAAGAGGAAAACAAGAGCTACTAAAAAAAGAAAAGTTCTCTACCAAGTCAAACATAAAGACACAAAAATTAATACCTAATATGTTTATTGGGTGGATTGACATTTCAACAGGCAGTCGGTATTCCAATCGGTACTAATTATACATACCTACTGGTCAACTTTTTTGTACTCCCATGAAGAAGAATTCATACAAAACTTTCTCAAAAGGCAAAACACGTCTACACGACGGGTGCCACTAATGGAGCCGGGTCATACCTTCCGGAGTACCTGAGATCACCCCCCATTTTTCATCGGAGTTCGTTTTGCTCAATCTTTAGTTGTCTACGTTGTGTGTTTTGTACAGTTATCTTTTTTCGTTTTCTGCCATGGCGTTGTCAGTTTTTTTTCAACTTATGAGTTTGAATTTCCATTTGGAATCTTTCGCCTGTCTTTTGTTCAGATATATTAATGATTTCCTGTCACTCAATAACCAACATTTCAGTGAGTGCTTGCATCTCATAATCCAAGTAAACTTGAGATTAAGGATACTACCGAAACTAAAGGGTATGCTTCATATCTTGATCTTTTCCTGGGTATTGACACAGATCGACGACTTTAAACCAGAATGTTGGGGTTATTTATTTAACATTAACATTTTTTATTGCACTATCTATAAAACTGCCCTATATAGAGGTTTATCCCTGTGTGTTAATCGTCAAATGAACCAGGGGATTGACTTGACGAAATTGTGAAGTCTTCTTTGTTAGAGTTACATACTTTGCATAAATATACATTTATTTTGCAAATATCTGTTTTCTCCGAATCTCTAGAATCTAATACAAAAATGATTATATCAACTTTCCCATTGTCAACGTCTCTTTTCTCAGCAGTATGTGCTGGTGTTTACATATCTCAATTGATACGTTACGTTAGTGTATGATCACAATATACGAACTTTATTAGCAGTGGTGTGCTCCTTACACAAAAACTGCTCCAACGGAATTATTAGGAAGAACGACTGCAATCAACACTACATAGGTATTACGATTACCATACGAATTAGTTGATAGATACGGTGTGTATCAACTGACTAGAAGTATAATTTTTCAGTCTTAGATATCAGAGAAGTCGTCTCATCTGTAATTTTACCGATTGTGACCATTTCTCGATTGTGACATTTTAACTGAGTGTAGATTTGCATGGCGGGTAATGCATGAATAACTTCAAACTCTTACCCTGTCGACGCACCTAGTCTGGCTTCTTTTGAAATTATTGCGATTCCTTCAGTTTGTGTTTGTTTCCTTGATTTGTCTTCTTAATCGTTTTATGAGATTTGAACAACGGTAACTTTTGTTGCATAAATTAATTACATAACACAATTATTTGATTCATCGCCAAAAACAATAACACTGCAAATCGGAAAAAATAGACGGGAACGCAAAATGAGTTATTGATGTAGAAAATAAACAGTTAACTGAAATATGATAAGTGTTTTCAAAAAGTTCGTAAAAGTGTGATTTTTTTTGTTCTGTCTAACAATTTTTGCTGCGACCTTTATAGCAATGATGGCATCCGTAAATTTTTCGAAGGGATGATACAACTTTACCTCTTGGAACTCTTGGTTTAATAGCTTCCTTGTGAGCAGTAACCCTCCATCAAGGAAATCCTTATAGGAAATGCAAGCCCTAGAATATCGTATCAACTGGGAGATATATACTCAATAAGCTTGTGATGCTGGATTGTTGCTACATAGAAATGGAACGTTCACAATTGGAAAGCTTTTGTTCTCAACCGACCTTCATTATCAGTTTCTAGATGCAAGTCAAGAAATGAGGCATACTTAATTGTATCTGTTGTATCGGGGTTTTTTTTCAAGTTCAATGGGGTAGATGAGTTCAACAGTCACCAAACTGATTTATTTAGTGAGAGGACATCATCTAGCGGAATGTGAAGTTAAAAGATAATGCAAGCTTCTTTTCATTCTTCCTAAGAAGCTTCTGTATGAAGTCAGCTTCATTCAAGTAAAGGACCAAGTCGGCAAGACGATGAGCACAGTTTGTTTCCTAGGTAATGCCGATTGTTTGTTGAAAAAAAGTCCTACAAACGTAACAAATATGTTGTCAATCAAGAAATCAAGTATCTTGATAATGTCAGTTTCAGAGAATGTTTTGTTTGAATCAGAGTTATTTAACTCTTTTAATTTGTCTTTTAGTTTGGAATGGAGATTACTTGTGTAATGGGTAGAAAAGTCAAATGTTTTAATACTTTTGCAAGATGAAAGAGTCCTAAATTGTATGTACTCTAACAAATATTTTGATTTTTTTTAGTATCCACACCGCCTCTAGAATAGGTAGTTTCACAATAACTTTGAAGCCCGGTTTGATTGCTGATAAAATTGATGTTAATAATTTAGAAAGAGGTTTCGTGGAGCACTTGGAAGATTCAGCAATATAATGTTTTTTGTAAAGACAGATATGCAATTCATGTATCAAATACAGGGAAGGAAAATGGATGAAATTCCAAAAGGAACATAGAATAGACCTATGGTTATCCATGCCAGGAATTACTACTTGGTAAGTGTTCATCTTTGACTTAGATATTCCATGATGGTCAAAAGTTGCCTTCTGTACTAGTCAGTGTGGTTTTTCCGCGCTATACCTAACAAAGGTTAACCCATGTAAAATCTCTACTTTGGTAAGTGTGATTTTTCAACCTTCACACTCCAAATGACTACTCCGTTAATCTTTTTCATTACACATGTGAATTTTCGCTCCGCAACATTAAAGAGTTGTATCATAAAGTAATACTGTAACAGTGCAAAACAAATCTGGTGTTTTTTTCTATCTTTATGTTATTGTTAGCACAGCACTGACTCTGTGTAGTCTACAAATATCTGTGATGTGTAAATCTAGCCCTGATAGGCATCTCAGAGGTGACCTAGCCATTTTTATTCATAATATCAAAGTGATTCTCAAACTCCAATTTAATGCATTGAAATAAATCATGGCTGTTCTAGTAAATACACCAGACATTGACATGATACAAACTAGAACTTCTTCTCGTAAAATAGCTTACAAAAGATCGGCAGGACAACTATCCAACAATTCCATATCTGAGGTGACTATTATGAAACTACAAAAGGCTCTACGCAAGAAAGAAGCATGTGATCAGCCTTCAATTACTTTTTGTATGAAAAAGGGGAACAACTTCAGAGCACTTATTAGAACTGTTGCATATAAACAATCCAAGCAATATTTTTACAACACTCTTGATAGGCTTGCTCAAGAAGAGTCAAATCAACTATACTATAACACTGCAAATAATAAAGACCAAACTGACTCGGTCTGTTTATCAAACAATTAAAATCTTCTATAACCATAAGAACCATGATGAAGGGAAAAGTCCAATCCTTGTCATGGAAAAGGTATAACATCTTTTGTTGAGGATTTGTTTTACACCAGCTTAAAACTACTTATTAAGAGAAATATTTTAGATTCCTAGTAGACAAATTGAATTAATCCCTTCCAAAATGTTACAGACACCATCATGATTTGACCGTTTATGTGGAATATCTAAGTCACAGATGAACGTGGATATTCTTTCAATTGTGACATCACAAATTGAGACTGTCATCATATTTCATATACCATGGCAACACGAGTGTCAACTCAGCAGGATCTGGTTATTCTTCCAAGGTACCTGAGATCATTCCTCCTTTTTTTGTGCAGTTTCTGTTGCTAAGTTTTTGTTTTCGTAGTGTTTTGTGGACTGTTGTGTCTCTTCATTGGTTTTTTGTCATGGTTTTGTTGGTTCTTTTTCGACTTACTTTTTTCCATTTTCGCTTGTCTCTTTCATAAGCACTAACCATCAAACAAAGATTAAGATTAGCCTTGGTATAACAAGTCATGTACAGCAATTACTGTGATGATCAATTCACAAACATGCACCATGGAATAACACACATAAGCAATGAGAGTGTAATTTATTTGCATATTGCACATGGTGACAAAACTGATATGGTAAATATGATATAAACAACATAATTGACTAGACATACCTAAAATTAAAATCAAATTCGAAAAACACTGTACAATAAAACTGTACATGGTTTATGAACTGACATGAAAGGGTAATAATACAGTTTTAACTTTCATGACAACTACTGGATCCACATTTACTGGGTTAAATATTGCAGAAAAGCAAATTACGCTTCATTAAAAAGGACACTACTCATAAGTCTATATATAAAGGGACACACTTTTGTATTTTTTTTCATTCTTCCAATGATCCAATGTGTAACCTCTATTTTTGTTTGGGAAAAATAATGCAGCAATTGAAAAAAAAAATATTTGATATAAAATCAAATCAAATATAATAAAAAATTGTTTTAATCACACAAAAACAAACCATTACTTTTTTCTGTAAATATGAAGATCAGTAGGCAATAGATTAAGCTTCTTGTATCTCTATAAGTAGGTATACATAGTAAGTGATAGGCAAAAATAAAAAACGAAAAAACCTACATAGCTAAACAGCTGTCTATTAAAAAATCAAATTAAAAAAAGATCAATTGAAAAGTCACTTTTTGTTTGTGTGGCCCAATATTAAATTATTTTCCAAAAGCTTTTTAATTCAAATTAAATCAATTATACATCAAATTGAAGAAAAAAGTACAATTCTACAATTATATCATAGGGAGACAGATTTTCAATTAAATACTATCAATCTGGATTTCTTCATGATTAAACTTAAAGGGCAAAAAACATTTTCCTTTTATTAAACTGAAAGTGTTAAACAAATTCAATTTAAAAAAAATGAAGGCCCTGAGATTTAAAAAATAGCACTGATTATTATACAGTTAATTATCATGTCATTTTTCAAATGTTAAAAAGATATTTTTGAATCTGAAATTCTGAAATCAATATGAAATAACTTGCCAGAATTATCAAAATAAAGCACTATATACTTTTCTAATTTGTTCTCTAATTTACAAAACAAGTATTTTCCTTTGTCTAAAACATATTCTATTCTCTTATAACAATTAAACAAATGATGAAATGTGCAGCTAAGCTTTAAATTAAAACTGTTTCTACATGTATTCCTATTTCTAACTGCTAAATCTTGATAAAAAGATACAAAATCTTGAATAATTGAAAATCAAACCCATAAACTGACTAAAAAGTAAAACTCAAAAGACATTGGACACAATAAACTGTTAATATCCCACTTGATAGCATTCACATAGGAGTAAATGTTACACAAACAGATTGTTTATCTCAAATTTAGTATATCATTCAAATACACACTTTTAACCTTAGACTTGATTACATGATACACAAACAAATTGTTGAACTCAGTCATAGTATATGAACATAAATTTTACCTTAAGACTTGAGTACATAGTAAACAAACAGATTGTTTACCAATAGACTTAAGTTCAAGGTGAAGGAAGGTTTTTTTTATCTCAAACAGAGTTAGCCTCTTAACTGATGTCAATACCATTCCTCAATCCTCTATAATGTTTTAAGGTTTACTTTAGTAACAAATCATAAAATCTGTTCACAGTATTGTGTAACCAAAGTCAAATCAAATCTCTAGAACAACATACTTGACTCCTGAACAGAAATATAAGTTAGTAGGGGATGTAATATATAATTGCACAATATACCTTGCAAAGATAACGTTCAGATATATAAACCTTGTACATAAAATACACTGCCTTATATTACACAAAACTAGTCTAATACTATGATATTCAAAATACACATATAAAATAAGTGACTTAAACTGAGTATTAAAAACTAGGTAATAAAAATACATAATAAATCAAGTATGGCAGTAAATAAATATAAAGCTTCCTGCACCACATAGGTCACATGACTTATTGCACATGTACTTAATGCTAATCCTATGCCAAAAAAAAAGCTAGGTAATGTTTTGGGGGAATGAGCAAATACACTATTACTGAATGAGAATAAAACATTGCTGTTTTCGTAGGTGGTTTTTTTCTCTCCTCTTATAACAAAGGTTATTCTCACAAACTTAAGCTTACTAAACTTGCAATGCCTCCATATTAGTGAAAATGTAAATCACAAGTTAATAACATTGGTAGCTTAATCAGTAAGAAATATACAATAAATTTATCAGAGGTCTATTCAATATTACAACTAAATCTAGCAAACTTTTTAAATGAAGAAAAACAGCTCATATAATTCAAATATTTTAACTTATTCTTTGCATAAATATAATTCTAAATAGTGTGTCACCTTTAATGTTTAAACAATCCTTTATAAAAAAAAATCACTTAATAAAATTTACTTCTTATGAATATAAACAGCAGGAGCTTTACATACAAACAGAGATCGTCATATATAGATTATACAAGCAGCACTATAAATAGAGAGCTTGTGCTATTACAGACAGACTATACAAGGTAGAACTAACATTTAACAGACTGTCAAGTTTCACGTTATACTCAATATATAAAGGAGAATGACGTTAAGTAGAATATAAATCACAGGTACACTACATCTATAGATTTACACACTAATACATATATGTACCAACATTTATATTTAGTAACAACAATTAGTTACTTTATGACATTACACAATTAATTTAGATATTATGCTGCTTTCCAGCCTTCTATTTATATACCTTTTTAAATTATTATTTCTAAACAATAAATATTTACATGTGATTTTCTTTTCTTTATCAAAATGATATTTTATGTAAATAAATGCATTTTTCGAATGTTTTTGCTTCAGAATAGAAATATATATGCAACAATCTCAAACCTGTCCATTCCCAAAAAAGTGTCTCCTAGCCAAAACATATCCATATCAACCAAAATTGTCCAATTTTATTCTTCCAAAACATGTCCAATTATATTTCACACTCCAATGTGTCTGAATGATGAAATTGCCAAAACATGTCACTTTAAGCCTCAAGTTGAACTCAGTGACAAGGTAGGGCCTCTAACAATAGTTTTGTTTATACAGCAACATACATAACAGTATCCTCTATAAAGTTTACACTATTTAATAAATGATAAAATTTTTAATTTCTCATCCTTTTTTTTTTAAATAACTTAGAAATGCAGGTTAACGATCAGGAATTACGGCAATGTTGACTACCTCACATATCCCATCATGAATAGATAATTGTAATGTTCAACAGTGGCTACTAGAGGAAAAGAGTGGTGATCTGGATAAAAAGGATTTTCTCTGTGTGTTGAAGACCCATTGGTGGCCTTCGACTGTTATCTGCTCTTTAGCAGGGTTGTTGTCTCTTTGACATATTCCCCATTTCTATTCTTAATTTTACTCAAGATAAGGAACACTATACATACAATAAAGGATGAGATATCAGGATTTCTGCTTTTTAAATAAATAGATATCAGATTAGGAAAATAGTTGCATCATAGAATTTGATTTTCAACAATTTGTATTTATTTGCTGAGGATGTTCAGAAAGGAAGTTCTTTTTCTTAAATCAAGGATTTGTATAAAACCATATATAACAGAGTTGTCTTCCATAATGGTGGAAACGTTTGGGATATTTAAGATAATTGGATTTTAGTGGAAAGACACATGTAGGCATCCAACAATATTTAAGCCTGTTTGGGTATATAATATTATTATACTTCACGTTAAAATGCCATATTTTGATTGGCTAATACGAGGGTGTTAATCTACTCTATTACCCTTCATGGAGACGCTTGATCAAGTGTGCGCTTTATTAAATACGGATGGTTGTTATGTACAAGACGTCATAGTTTATTACTTTGAATTTGAAATTTAATCGACAGTAATAACAGAACATTCAGTATAATAAATTAAATAACACATATCTGAGAGGGTGATAGAGCAGATTGTTACCCCTCGAAAAGACATTGTCAACCTTGGCTTCGCCTCAGTTGACAATGTTTTCTCGGGGTAACAACCTGCTCTATTACCTCTCAGCTATGTGTTATTTATATAATGTCATATGGACATGTTTCTGAGTGTTACATATTTGTAACTGATTTTTTTATTTTGAGTCATCAACAATCAAAAGTTAAAACTGACTCAATTCCAAAAACATTAAAAATGATAAAATAAAATTTGCTTAAACATGATAATATAAAAATTAATCATGGGTCTATTAAATGTTTTTAAACTCAAGTTTGACTTCTAGTACACTGTATATCAACATTTATATACAAATTTTCACAACCTGGTGTATCTCTTTAACAAAACAAACTTCACAAAATACAAAGGGGATTTTACTTGTATTCAGTATTCACATGAAAAAGGGTTTCAGTAACTACCCTTTCTATGTGAAAAATATATTTCATGACTAGTCAAGATTGGAATCATTATTTCCTATTTCATGACTAGTCAAGATTGGAATCATTATTTCCTATTTCATAACTAGTCAAGATTGGAATCATTATTTCCTATTTCATTAAAAAATGGTTTTACTATCCTGGTTGTTTGGAATTTTTCTGATACTAAAAACTGTCTAAATAACATCTTCCTTAATTTTATAACCTTATAAGAAAAAAAATACTTACTGGACCTGAATAATGTTGTGCTAAAATACCTAAAGCCTGACTACATGAGGCAAGCATTACATACCTTAGAAATCTCTAAAAACAATGCCATTCTCTCTTGTTTAGTATCCATTCAAATAAATACATAAATATGGTAAACCTTAACATTACAGTAAATAAGCACCACAAATATACACCCTCTTTTCTAAGCAATTATAAACATTCATAAAAATTGTTGCAATATTATACACATTAGGACTAATTCAATGGCCAGATAATAAATTAGTGTAAAATATAATCAGTATTTTTATTCTTACAAGGACTGTTTACCAAGAATGACTTCATAAAAATCAAGTTATAAACCATTATGCTGTTTAAAGGAATATGATATATTATAATTTTGGAAAAAAGAAATAATGCCATGTGTCTCAGAATAACTGGTTTTTATTTAGCCAAGAGCATGATGTTGACAAAACTAAGAACCTGAAAGGTTTATACAATATGAAAAATTTCAAGATTAGAGGATTACAAAATAATCTTATTTATTTTCATCTCTTAATAGAAAGGATGATTTTGATTTGAACCATAAATATTTCACTACTTACAGTGATGGTAGCTTACTTAAAACATGAAGAGTTTTAGATTGGATTTTGATTTGGACAAATGACAATTAAATGTATTAAAATTGCCTTTTAATGTTTTTTCCTTTTTTTATAATTTTCGAACAAATCTGCTAATTTATGTTCAAAATCCAAAAATGATGGTTTTACAAAATACCTTTTCCCTTTAACAAAAATCTGCCAAACATCGTACATACATGTTTATTATTATTAGGCATCAAACAATATCATGTGACTTGTATTTGATAGTTTCTCTTTAAAGGAGAAGGTCCGGTAAGGGCTAGTTTTGGCCTAAAATTCGAAGTACATTTGATGAAAGAGTTTTTACATTTTTTAAACACTTAAGTGTCTACTTAAGTCGATTCAAATAGTTTATGTAAAAGATTGGAACTGATTTGGTCATGAAAGGCGCTCAAATTCAAGCTTGAGTATCAAAAATCTATCAAACATGCAATAAAACGTCACTTTTCAGATGGTTTTTGTCTAAAATGGAAGTGGCCGCATTCGTGTTCAGTCTCAACCTTTATATATGTTATGTATTATCATCAAATACAACATATATTTAAGTATTAAGACTGATCGCAAATGCAGCCACTTCCATTTTAGACAAAAACCGTCTTAAAATTAGCACAAATGCTAAAATTGTGAAGATTTCAGTAATATTGCATGAATGTATGATGCTAGTATCTGATGCATGTGCATTGTATTGTCAAAAACAGCCAATATTTATGGAACAGAAGTATTCTTCTTTCCAATACATAGCTAAAAGTTTACATTTCAACAAATTTGTAAAAATGCTATATTTTGGTGCCAAAAAGAGGTCTTACCGGACCTTCTCCTTTAAAATATATTTTTCCAGAATTTTTTTAATTTACGTTACTATCTAATCTGGTTATTGTAGAGAAATATAATTATATCAAGTGCTTGCTTTTCTGCAATTAGGGAAACAATTAAGGTAAAAAAAAACATGCAATTCGAAAAACTCCTTGAACAGTTTTGTCCCGATATATTTTTTTTCTATTTCAATACAATTGCAAATACCTATGGTACCTTTGTTAAAAAAAATTAAAACAATCCTATAACTATTCAGGTAAGTGGGTATCAATCAATACGGGCTGTCCAAATATACCTTTTTAATGAAATAAATAGGATGTGTCTGCAATATCAAAGATATAAATCTTAAACTTTTCTGTAAAAAGAAGATATACATGAAAGTGATTTTCTTTATAAATGGAGGGCTTATTCAGCAGTCCATGAAATCTGACTAAATATTTTGCAATGCTTCAGAGAATATTTTATAATCACCAAGCATCATTTTAAATTTCTTGAAATTTCTAAATATCAAATATCCAAATTTACATTAAACTAACCAATCCATCTACCAATGTTTATATTAAAAAAATTTAACAACATTTAAGTCATTTTAATGAATGCCCCATTTTTCTTGAATATCTGAAATAATTTTACCAAATTTTTAAAAGTACATTGGCTTGTTATAAATTCTTCTAAAAACAAGTAATCTGTGTCTATAAAGTGGTAATTTGAACAACATTCGTTTTTATCACTTATAAAATTTGTTGTTATCAAGATGCCTTTTAACATTATTTTAGACAATTTTCAAAAACTAATTTGACAACAGTACTAAGGGAGTGAATGATTGTCAGTACAAAATGTCTATTATGTTTCAAACATGGTATTAAAACAAACAAACAAAAAACACAATATAACAAGCATGTTAACTTTGACTCAACTTTCAACTTTGTGTTGTACCTTATTAACTTGTTAAATCACTGTAGTTAGGAATCATAACAGTCACTGTAGTAATTTACAATTAAAAGGTTGTACAACTCAACTGTCATAATTTATAATTGTACAAAACATTTTACCATCTTACACTCTTCTTTATATTATAATTGTAAACTAGGATGCATTACACAAGTACAAAATGTTTACAAATGACTATACTTATTTCAGGAACAAAATATCTAATGTAAACAAAAAATTAATGCTAAACAATCTTCTTAATTTTGAAATATCTTTTAACTTTATTATCTCCCCTTTTTGACACCAAAGAAGCAGAAAAACTTATTACCTTCCCATTATATTGGCTATTCACAAAGCCTGTGGAATAACACAAATTAACACAATTGCAGTTTAAACATGTTTCCTTGTACGTACAATTCAACATTTTTATTGCTCTAAAATCTTAATCTAGCAAAGCTGACAAAACTCCATAAGGAAAAAATATTAGTTTTCAAAAAAACCCTTGAAATGATAAAGATTGAGATTACAAAATCCTGGCAAAGAAAAGGCTAATTAAATAACAGTTCCTAATAAATGATAATATGATGATAATGTTTGATTGATGATAGATTTACAGTAGTAAACACTGGCGATTTTTTTGTCTAACTGGCTGTGGCTGTAGAACTGCTCGACAAGCTTCATCAAAAACCTAGAAAATAAAACAGAATATTAATAAACTTATATTATGTAAACAAATGATTTCAGTTGTCAGCAAATGAAGCAGTACCCTTTGATACAAACACTTATAGCAGAAAATATATTGTATCATTTTTTATCACTGCAGGGTTCTATCAATGCCAGTCAATACTTTCAGGGCAACATTTTTTACACAGCATCTTCCTTATACTTTACAAATCTGATACAGGTGGTTTTTTTTGTGGGGGTTGTTGCTTAGAAGGAAGCTATTGACCAAGGGATCGCAATGGTAAAGTTAAAGTCACTTCCTCGATAGTATTAGGGATTCCATCTTGATTTGGTTGACAATTTTGGAATATCTTGTAGCAGACAAGAGATATGTTCCACTTGTCTTTGCCACCTTCCTCCTCTTCTCACAGAATATTACTTGCCACTGAATGTTTACTTGCCATCAGTAACGGATGCCACTTGTGCTAGTGTTTTGAAGACTACTGTATGTCTGCTCATCATTTTTATTGCAGCCATGCTGTTGTCTGACAACTTTTACGTTTTTTTATTGCTCTTTTGATAACTCTCCCCCCCCCCCCCCCCCCCCCCACCCCCACCCCTTTATGTGGCGTTAACAAATAAACAGTGAAAGAACATCTTCCAAGAAAGTTTCTATCCAACCAGCAGAGGAACTTCTAAATATTTTTGCATATGCAGATGAGTCTGTTTAATATGTAAAGATAGGAAACTCTTGTAAATTTCATGACATCATAAATTAAAGCTGCCAACATTTCAGAATTTCAAGATTAAAAGATGTAATTGCGAACCAATTTATAAAGAGTTTAAGGGGAAGTTTATCTGAAGTATTTTTAATAACTGTTTTTGGTCGTTTTTGCTATATTAATGATTTTACTCCGACATAAATATCATTGAAATAAATAATTGTATTTTTAAAACAAACATAATTGAAAACAATTTTAAAATATGATACTTTTTAGTGATATAAGAGGCAAAATCATATCCAGTCAATGAATTTCTGATATGAAAACATATGTCACCTTTATTTTCTACAATTCAGTAACAAAAGAAAAAAAAATATGAAAAATTTTAATAAACTGTTAACACAGAGATATGTCTCCCCTATTTATTATTTTGATAATGCAAATGTTGAAATTAAAATAGCAATACTTTAACATGCAAGTTATGCAAATTTTCAAAGTCAATGAACCATAACTGAAGGTACAGGGCTAAACAATCTCCATGGAAGGTAATTGGTGGTATTTAGTTTTTGGAGTAAAAATATTTTTGAATAAAGATAGTGTCATTTTTGGTGTATTGAATTCTGATAACGTAGTTTTAAATTATTGTATTCTACAGGCAAAGTATTACATTAATTATGTAAAGAACACACAATTAGACAGACTGTTAATATCTGTGCAAGCTTTTCTTAAATTTTTGAAAAGACGTCTAGAGATATTAGAATATTTATATCTTTCTAAAGACAAACACGAGTCATTTGTCGACAGATGGGGGGGATTTATGGAAGTTATTTAATTAAATTTATTTTTAATCTGATTATATATTTAATGTATTCCAAAGTATTTTTTAAGATGTATCATATACTGAGTATTCACATCATCAACTTGTAAATTATTTACTATGTCTTATTCGCATAATATCAAAAGTATAACAATGCCATAAATGTCATGTCATTCACTTATGTCTTGTAAAAATGTATGTATGCACTGTAGTTTGAACACCAAAAAGATCAATAAAAAAAAAAAAAAAGAAATGAGATGTGCCAATACTAATACAACTGCATACCAAATACCATTGACTTTTCATAAGTCGTTCCCTTTAAACAAACCTAATCACAAACATTAACTTGTAAACTATGTAAAAGTTTCAAAGTCAATGAACCATAATGAGGGGGTGGGGTTATATAATCTCCATGGAAATGAAACTTGCAAATGCCAATACATTTGCATACAAAACATCATTGACTTAACATTAGTGGTTCATCTTAAAAGGAACTAATCACAAACTAATACATATGTAAACTAAGCAAATGTTTCAAAGTCAAAAGACCATGACTGAGGGGGCAGGGCCAAATATTCTCCATGAAAATGAGAGGTGCTAATGCTTATACAACTGCATACCAATTAACATTGGCCTACCAATAACGGTCCCCCTTAAACTGACCTAATCACAAACTAATACATGAAAACTAAGCAAAAGTTTCAAAGTCAATAGACCATGACTGAGGGGGCAGGGCCAAATAATCTCCATGGAAATGAGATGTGACAATGCTAATACAACTGCATACCAAATATCATTGACCTACCACAAGTGGTTCCCCATAAACTGACCTAATCACAAACTAATACATGTAAACTAAGCAAAGTTTAGAAGTCAGTAGACCATGAATGAGGGGGCAGGGCCAAATAATCTCCATGGTGATGAGATGTGCCAATGCTAATACGATTGCATACCAAATATCATTGACCTACCACTAGTGGTTCACCATAAACTAGACCTAATCACAAACTAATACATTGTTGACGCTGGCGCCGTTGCTGCCGGCGGAAACAGCATACCTATGTCTCGCTTTTTGACTTCGTCAAGGCGAGACAAAAATGAACTGCATAAATCTTCACATATGAAACAAATCTCTCATGGTTTACTCTATTTATTCAATTTAAAGGAAAGTCAAAATGACACATTGACAATTTTCCTATATTAATGTTTTGCTACAGCAAAGACAAACCCTGAAAATTAATCAAATCATAAAAAAAAAAAAAAAAAAAATATGTGCTTTTCTGATCTTCTCCATGAAAGTCAAAAGATCTTATTTGTCAATATGACTGTTGTATGGAGTAATTCAGTCACGTTTGGTTCCATTCCATGTAAACAGCAAGGCATTTTGTACTGATAAACACATACAGAGTTAGGAAATGTTTTTTGGTTTCTAATCAATCTTTTTCACACATGGTATGAAGTAAGCTGACGCTGAGAAATTTGGTTACAATCTCAGTAAACTGTAGTAGTTTCTAATCAAGTTTAAGACAATGAAAATAACGCTTTATATATTTGCTGCGTCCTATGCCCTTTTCTGGATTTAACTTCATGAAAAACGCTTATACCACCAAAAATGAAAGCTAAGTATATAAACTTTAACTAAAGTAGAAATGGTTAATTTCATGTTGGGATAAGGGAAGTTCTAAAACTTGACATGACTAAAAAAACTTTTCCCTCTATTCAATTGATACACACCTGTTTTAAACCTCTCTGTGTTAAAGCAGAACATTCCATGTATTTCACAGCTCTAATTTTATTGGCTAATTTAATTCCCTGTTCTCTTTTAATTGGTGATAAGCCTTGGGCTGTTAGCTGACCTATAGCCTCTTTGTTTTCTCTCAGATCTATTTTTGTTCCTAAAATAATAATTGATTACTATATATCTACATATTGTTATAGGTTCAAATCATTACAGTGACCTTGCTATGTTGCCATGGTGCTAACCTACATGCACTCACTATACAGTATCTGTATGCAGTTATATCTTAATTCTTTAACATAAATTGATACTCTAAATATTTTAATGTTTATCCTGTTCAGACAGAAAGAATATTTGTGATATGGACTTTTAGTGTCTGAAATAAAGATTATCTTATCTTAAAGTATAGTTGGTCACATTTCATTAGAATCATAAAGTGAAGTCATAAATGTTTTATCTTAAATTGCAATATTTGATTTAAACAGTTTTGAACATAAACAAAATTTCCTGTTAGCTATTATTCATCATTCACTGAATAATAACTCATCCTCCAATAAGTATTGTGTAAACAGGAATTTGATGAGGTATGGATGTGAAAATGCATCATACAGTAGAGCATGCAAACACGAAGCTGAACCTTTATACCCAATTTCATGATAATCTGATTTGTAGTTCTTGAGAAAAATAAAATTTGCTACAAGAGGTTCATTGTAAGGCCAGACAGAGCAAACCTGCTTATCCCGATCCTTCATAATAGAGGTATAATAAACTGTTAACACAGAGATATGTCTCGCCTTTTTGTTATTTTGATAGTAAAATGCATATGTTGAAATTAAAACAGCAATACTTTAACATGCAAGTTATGCAAATTGTTCAAAGTCAATAGACCATGACTGAAGGTACAGGGGCCAAATAATCTCCTTGGAAATGAGATATGCCAATGCTAATACATATGCATATTTAATATCATTGACTTACTAGTGGTTTCCCAATAACTGACCTAATCACAAACTAATACATGTAAACTAAGCAAAATGTTCAAAGTCAATAGACCATGACTGAGGGGGCAGGCCTAACAATCTCAATGGAAATAACATGTGTCAATGCCTATACAACTGCATACCACATACCACTGACCTTCCACTAGTAGTTCCCCATAAAATGACCTAATCACAAACTAATACATGTAAACTATGCAAAAGTTTCAAAGTCAATAGACCACAACTGAGGGGCAGGGCCAAATAATCTCCATGGAAATGAGATGTGACAATGCTAATACAACTGTATACCAAATATCATTGATCTATTACTAGTGGTTCCCCATAAACTGACCTAATCACAAACTTATACATGTAAACTATGCAAAAGTTTCAGTCAATAGACCACAACTGAGGGGGCAGGGCCAAATAATCACCATGGAAATGATATGTGCCAATGCTAATACAACTGCATACCAAATATCACTGACCTACCATAGTGGTTCCTCACAAAACTGACCTTATCACAAACTAATACATTGTTGACACCGCTGCCACAGCCGCCAGAAACTGGAATACCTATGTCTCTCTTTTTGACTCTATCAAGGATGTAAAAGGATAAAAGAATTAAGTGGAAAAATGTTTGGTAGCAACTGGACCTTTAGCAGATTTTTCAGAATGTTTTAATTTTTATTAACTCTATCTTTTATGTTGCTAGGTTGGTAGCTGAACCTGATATACTTTTCACATTAACCATCTGTGATCTGGCTTGAAATGGTCCAGAGGTTTCAAGTTAATTAACAGAATGGGAGCTTATGAACAATACATACCAACTAATATAACAGGAGCATCTGGACAGTGGTGTTTTACTTCTGGGTTCCATTTTGTTGTTACATTTTCAAAGGAGGAGGGACTCACAACACTAAAGCATATTAAAAATACATCCGTCTGCAAGAATAAAAGAAATGATTTTCTATCTCCTTATAAAGCATACAAATGAACAATAAATCTATAAGCTGATAGAAATTACAAGGTGTCAGTGCACGTACAAAAGTGGAAGACAATCACATTTCATGTTTCCTGTCATTTTGAAACTTTCTTTAGAGCTTACTAAAAAGAATTATCTGAGTACCAGCTCATCTATAAACTTAAAAGATGTGTGCCTCTTTTTTATTATATATTCAAGTTCCAAGTTTGAATGCAGCTGTATGCTAAATATTTGTTTCATAAAAAATCTCTGGAATACATTTATTCAACGCATTATATATATCCTTAGAGGAGAATGAATTTTGTAGAAAGTTTCAAATTAAAAGATTATTTTATTCTTAAAAGACACCACAAGAATCACTTGTCTTGAGTATATGAAAACAAACCTGAGGATAAGACAAGGGACGCAACCTATCATAGTCTTCTTGTCCTGCTGTATCCCATAGTCCTAAATTGACGGAGTAACAATCTACTACCATGTTGGCTGTGTAATTATCGAATCTAACAAATGAAGTAATGTTTCATGATTATTCAAGAAATGACATTTAATTAAATGATAAAATTAAAGATGATGAGTCGTCATGGTCGTAATCTGATCTGGGTTATTTTCTGTCTGTTGCTCCCTCAAGAATGTAATTGAATCAATGGGATTTCCAAAAGGTTTAATAATTTGTAGAATGTTACATTTACAGTGTAATCTATATTAGAGTAAAAGAAATTAGAAAGACTAATAAAAATTCAATGGGTCTATTGCTATGAATAGGCCACTTCAATCTAATTTGATCTAGATTTAATGGGTATAATGAGATGTCTGAGCATAGAAAACTTTACATAATCTAAGCACTAATATATGTGTATATTCTCTACTGCTATTAAACAAGAGTGCACACGCTGAAATGTCTCGCCTGCAATACTGACCATTGTTTTTATGTAGAAAGTCTTAAAAGATGAAGGTTTTACTACAATTATCACGTAAACTTAACACTTTTAAAGATCCATGACAATGAGGTCAAGGTTAGATAAATCCTGTCCGACAGACATGTACACCTTAAAATTATTCCATACACCAAATATAGCTGACCTATTGCTATTAGCATTTGAAAAACAGACCAAAACACAAAATCTTAACATTGACGAAAGAACCAAGAAAATGAGGTCAAGGTCAGATAAAACCTGCCAGACAGACATCTACAACTTACAATTATTCCATACACCACACATAGTTGACCTACTGCTTACAGTATCTGAGAAACGGACCTAATCACGTTGTTTAGAAGACTGTGGGACAGGCTACGTCTTAAGTTACCTTTGTATCCAAGGGCCTAAGCTTTGATTTGTAACAAGTAAACTTCAAACTGAATAGCTTTTGATTTTTCATGTTAGAGTCAGATAATAAGAAATCTTCCCTACACACGTAACTTTACCCTTGATCACTGATCCATGAAATGAGGTCGAGGTCAGGTGAACCCTGTCTGATTGACATGTAGATGCTGCAAGGAACCCATATACTAAATATAGTTATCTTTTTACTCATAATAAGTGAGAAATTAACATGACAAAAAAACTATAATTTGTTTTCAAGCAGTTGCTGAACCATGAAAATGAGGTCAAGGACAATGGACATATGAAAAATGGAAACTTCGTGACTATATATAACTAAGGTATCTGCATACAAAGTATGAAGCATCCAGGTCTTCTACCTTCTGAAACATAAAGCTTAATACAAATAGTTCACGCTGCTGCTGCCACCGGATAGTAATCCCAATTTCTCACATACTGCGATTTTCTCCTCAGGCGAGACAATAAACACTTTTTAACATAATTGAAAATTAAGCTAATGATACTGATGTATATCACTTTTCATTTTTGCCAGCTGTTTTGATTATTGCTACATGTACTTTTCAACTATTTTATGAGATACTTACAAAGTAAGAACATACCCTCCAGGGAAACTATCTGTTGTGTAAGATATCAACATACAGGGTTCTTTTATGAGATAGTACTTACACAGTAGGGACATACTCTCCAGGGAAACTATCTGCTGTGTAAGATATTAGATATTTTTTTTTATGAGATACTTACACAGTAGGAACATACTCTCCAGGGAAACTATCTGTTGTGTAGGATATTAACATACAGGTTTTCCCTACAGTACCATCACCAACCACCACACATTTTATTGGTCTTGGGTGTGCCATATCTTAAATTAAACGTAAATGTAAACAGAATTTGTTTTAAATTACTAGCTTAGACTTGAATACAAAATGTGTTCTTCATGTATAAGATTTACAATATGAATGAGTCAACTAGTCAAGACTTCAATATGAATGAGTCAACTAGTCAAGACTTAATCTAATCATCCCATTTATCAACATTTTTGTCATAGCTGCATAACCCATCAAAAAGGAAATGTAATGTTTATTTACCAAACATGCAACCTGCAAGTCCAAAGAGTCAAAATATAATTCTGGTAATTAGAAATTCATAGAAATGTATCAGATCTAAGGACTTATTTCATCCCCAGTTAAACTGTACTATTTTCCACACTCACAAACTTCCCTATATATATACAAATGACAAAGTTCATGTTTTGTAATGGGAATCATCATCTCAAAAAACAAATACAAAACAGGAAGTGCACAACTACTCAATTATAAATATTAGGTTGGTAATTACATGCACATTCCTTTCCTACATACAATTCTAACAATTATGCATTGAAAACTTTTGTATTAAAGTGACAAAGATTTAAAAATCTACCAAAGCCAGTATTAACAATGTATTACATTGTCACTATGTATATATGTCTGGCCTATCATAAGGACGGGTAATAATAATGTTAAATAATCTGGTTTCTAACCTTTTCTGTTTTGTAGATACACAACCTTCTTTTTATCACAGTAGACTGACCTTGGTCCATTATTTGTGTTATTTAAAAGAGGAAACTATCTTAAGTCATTTTAATTACTAGTTGTTGTTTCTTTTACCTTAATTATATTTTATCTTTCTTATATGCTGCTTTGAACTCAAATGAAACCCTATGGAGATCTGGATAAAGTTCCTCAAAATTACACATCTGAAATGACATATACATGTACATGTAATTCAAATACAAAGAAATAATGCAAAGATACACATAAAACAGTAGTGTTACATGTAAAAAATAAAATAAAAAGTAGGTATTGCAATCACACATAATTGAGAGGGGTTAGGAGGGGATTTCATCCTGAATACCTGGAAAATATACGCTGAATCTCTGATTTCCCTCTTTCCCGGTTCCCGAAAAATTAATAATCAATTCCTGAGTCTCAATAAGTGTAAATCCTGAATTCCCACAAAAACAAAGCCCAATCCTGGCATCCCCAAAAAGGACCTTCCTTCATAACCGGACACTTATTTGATTTTTAGATAAATTCCCTTTTGATGACAGTTTAGCACAAAACAGGGTTCATATTCAAATCACATTAATATATTCTCGTCATGATATGCTTTTTATACTTGCCATTGGAATGCATGGCTTAACCCAATCAATTTCCAACTCCTTGCATGTGTTTTATCTTCTGACAAAAATAATCAATTCAGTGTACTGCCTTTAAATTTGATTTCAAAAATAAAATATTTCTTTTACCCAGTATACTTTCTTTCAATAACAGAATGAAGCACTAAACATTAACTAACTTTCTAACAAGGAAGGATATCATTTATGAGCTTGTTTTGTGGGTCTGTTGCAATATGTTCCACAAATTCCTAATGTTTTTCCTGTTTCCATATATTGTACATTTACTTTTCCCTCAATTATTTAAAAACTGCTCACTCTGTATTAATTAAATAGGACAAATTAACCCTAAGTTGTTCAGTGTTCCTGCTGTTGTCTTTATTTTCGATGAATTCTTTAAAACTAAAAGATTGATTATTTACAAATTCCATGAAATAAATCAGTTAATCTGTAAAAAAAAAATCTTGATTATTTCAGGGATTTTGTAAAATCCCTAGTTATAAACAGGGATTTTATAGAATCACTTATCAGTTCAGTGATTTTACAAAATTCTGAAATTTCAGGGATTTTACAAATTATTTACTGTAACATATCTACATGTATGTAATTATACATGCATAAATGAATCTAATCTTCATTGTGATGGAGCACAATATTAAGTAACACTGTCAACAAGTGCTACTTTTAGGATGAGTTAATTAGTAAGCTTCAACACTGATCTCAAAATAGAAACAAATTTATTAATACTAACATTGCACAAGATATGGTCTCATATTTGGCTTAAACAATTATGATGTCAGCCAGCAGGAATTAGTTTTCGGGACATTCCTTACAGGATCTTACAGGGTTTGGATTTTCCTTTCTTTTTATATTTGCCAGCTGTATCATATATATACAATGTATTATCAAAAAGCCAACATTTTTTTTTTATAAAACATATAACTATATTACCCTAACTTGCTTCTCTTTATCTATGTTAACCAATTATGTTAGGGGACGACCATTTGATATTCTGGGCAGGAGCATGTTTTTCAGATTGAATATTCATTTTCATCTGCTACTACCAACGTTTATTTTTTTCTGCAGCTTTGCTGCGAGAAAAATTTATTTTCACTTTGTGTACACAATTTTTTCCTGCATTTTTGAATACGCAAGGTTATTTATTTTTCAGACCTTACCAGGCCAGGACATTAATTTTCAAAATCATCCTGGACCCCACCACCAGAAAATCAATTGCTTGTCCCCTTATGGTTGCCAGACCATCAAATGAAAAGGTAAAACAGGTTTTCTGATGTGTTAAACAATAAACAAACAGAAGCTGTCAATACCTAAGAAAAATAAAAGTTTCATCATTTTAGATTATCTGATGTCATAAAACAAACTTGACAGTATAAATTTAAGCATTCATGATATCTTCTGATCAGAATTTCATGGGAAGCATTTTTTGAGAATAAATGTTTCCCATGGCACCATTTCTTTCTTTGGCGTCAAGGTTGTTTTCTTTTTTAGAAAAAAATATGAAGTTCAAGTATTTTTCTAAATCAAATTTCTCTAATCAAAATTTCATGAAATTTCTATTCAATTCTTTAAAATATGTTGCACCTAACACAGTAAGCCTAAATCAGTATAAATGAACTGCCACAAACTTGTTGAACCTATCAATAAGAAATGATGTGTATTTGCCATGTAGAATATGTACAGATAATCACCTGAGTGATACATCACCTAATTACAGGATGATCAAGACACTACATATTGTTTATATACCATTAAAGTTTTGTTATTTCTTCTTTTAAGACACCTGCTGTTGTAGGGCTTACATCTATCTAATCAACTCATCAAAAACAGATGTTAAATATGTAATCATTTTGTACTTGTACTGGTATAATAATGTTACTTTTTAGTTTGAAGGTTTCCATCGGTCAGCAGTAAAATTTAAGTCTAAATCTTCAAATTTGCAGTTTTTTTAAGGGAAAACAGGATCATGATTTTGATTCAAAAACATGATTGAAACATAATCAGGACACAGTCATTTAAATAAACAGATATACATGCACATGTTTAAAAAAGAAAAATTGAAAATAAAAATACCTTATAATTGTTAAACATAAAAATTGATGCAAATTATCAAAATCAGAGTACAAGTATATACATTGCCTATCTAAAATTGTTCTTCTTCCCCTTTGTGCATCCATTGAGATCAAATCATCCTCACTACATGGGTCAACAACTCCCTTTATATATGTACATGTACCTTAGTTTTTATCCTCTCTCTAAGAAATAGATTACTAGCAGGAAAGCACAACTCATTACATACATCCAGGAATGGCTTAGATATAGGTATAACTTGTAATGTTAATATCATATGAAGTAAACAGTTGTTTTATGTAGATTGTGTTGGGTAAATAAATGACCTAATTATATATTAGTAAGGTGAGACTTCCCATCAGTCCAACTGCCTATAAAGCTAGCAGAGAACCCTGTGAATGTAAACATTTTGTGTTCTTTAAAAATGCATTTACCTACATCTTTTTACATTTTTTGGGGTCATGTTTACTCTGTTATAACTTGTCTTAGTCTCAAAATCATTAATATTTTTGAATTTATAATAAAGTTCTTAGATTATACATTATTGAATAGTCTAGATCTGCCTCCATAAAGCAGTACCTTTTTAATTTTGTAAAAAATTCTTTTAATAATAAATTCTCTAGGACTCCTTGGACATTGATCTGTTTTGACAATACATGCAATCATATAATATGATGACGGTTGTTTGATAAAAAATGTATATGGTTATAAATTTTAAATGTTAACATATATACTGTCTAAAAGTCTGCGATAATTGTAATTTTAAAATACATTTATACCAGCTTGAGTTGAGAAATTGAACTAACTCACAACAGAAGAATGTTTTATATTTAAATCAATGTTATCCATAGATAGAGAGATAGTATAGTCAAGCTTTGATGTATACGGTCATAATAAAATTTGTAATACAATACACATGTATGTCAACAGCATCACTATGTACATCTGTAATCCAATCTAGTTAAAATTAGACCTTCAATTGCTCTCTCTTATATCAGTTAAGGGGGAGAAACTAAAGTAGATTGACTGTAAACTCAAATTTTATGTGTTCACTATTTTTTAAAAAAACTTGTTTGTAAACATCTTTACCTAAATGTGTGTTGAATGAATATATAACATGAACATAAATCACTGTTTCACCACCTCAGAATTTGGCAGGTCTATATCAATGCTGATAAGATCAAATTGACTACATTGGTTATACAAATATATATATAAGTCTAAACTGAAAACAACGTTCAAACCTATGATTGCTTTGGATAAAAACTGCAATTTTTATATGTGTGCATGCAAAACAAATTTCTTGGTAGAGGGGATACATGTATATAAATATACATATATTATTTTATATCACTTTTACCATGTTTCCAGAAAAATAAAAACCTATTTTTTCTTCAAAATGTGGTTTTATCATTAAATTTATTAAATACTTGAACTAGCATTACAAAAATGTAGAGATACATGTACTTAATTGTGTAATGCTAATTATTATAGACCATGTATTAATACAAACTTATCAAATAATCTATTCTATTTTCCAACATCACCACCTGTATCCATACACAGCAGGAACCATACTGCTTTGAAAATACATGCAAAAGGTGTGATATAGGCTATTAAAAAGCTGTTCAAAGGTTGTTAAAAAAAACACAAACTACAGGCTTTAAAGAGCCTATATTGCTCACCTGGATACATTTATACATTCAACAATATTGAAGTCTAGAATATAATCCATGACTTAGATAAATTATTTTGTTGATCTAGTCTTGCTGATAATTTTTGAGATGTACAGTTTTTCTTTTCACAAAAATGCAAAAATGGGTAAAAATCATCATTCAAGGGCGATATTTCCTATAAAGAGTTGTCCGACAATTAATTTGGGCCATCTTAATATATAGCAGATCTTGTCTTGGTCATGATTTTTGCTTTTTTAAAGTAACTATCTATTACAGTTTTCAAGATAATACCAAAATATTGTCCACCATCTAAAATAAATTGGGAAGAGTGTCGTCAGAATATTAGATATACTCTTTCATCCTATTGTAAAAAATGTGTAAACGGGAGAAATCTGACAAAAAGTCACTTGATTTCTATTTAAATAAATGTATGAATATTGTTGATATTCACATATCCCATTTCAAAAATAATTTAGAAATAAATAAAAGAGTAAGTAATACACCGATTTCTCATTTTCTAGGATTAAAAACAAAATTCAAGTACTATCAAAGCGTTTTGTGTTCGTACCGGCCGACAAAGCAGCCAACAATGTGGTGGTGGTATGACGTAAATACTAGACAGAAGTCCTTAAGAATGAAATTATACATTCAACTACATTCAAGGCTGTACGCTCCACAGAGAGTCATAAAAGTAAATAATCATGTCACTACCACAGCTCAGCTTAAGGCCTACTCTAAACATTTGAAGGTCCCCACTATGTATAGGTTACCTAAACTACACAAAAAACCCGTAAAAATATCGTTTCATCTCAGCCTCTAGTAAGTGTTCTACTACTAATCTTTCGCTGCTTTTAACGAGTTCCTTAACTACTATCAAAGAAGTTTTCTTTAATTTTTGTAATATATATATATAAAAACAGTGGAATTAACCATTTTTGGAGTGTAAAAAATTCTTTGGATGTTTTAGATAAATTACGTGCTTTTGATGGTTCATTTGATTGGGTTGACAGTTTCGACTTTTCCACTCTTTGTACTACACTTCCACACAATCTTATCAAACAAAAGTTTTCCTATCTAATTAAATGGTCGTTTGATAAATCTGGTTGCAAATTTATTTGCTGCAACTCATATATAAAGCCTTTTTCTCTAATGAGAAAGGTAAATATGCTAGATATACTTACTGGAGGTGTGATGAGATGATTAAAGCACTAAATTTTCTCCTTAACATTTATGTACGTTTCGGAATAAAATTGATCGACAGATTGTAGGTATTCCTATGGACACCAATTGTGCCCCTTTAATAGCAGACTTGTTCCTTTACTGTTATGAATCACAGTTTATGCCCAAAATCAGTAAAGAACTGTCTAAATTCCATTTAATTGTTAAATTCAACAACACTAACCATTATCTTGATGATATTTTCTCGTTAAATAATCAAGAATTCTCTAACTATACTGCTGAAAATTACCCAAAGGAACTTAATTTAAATAAATCTAATATCAACAGCAATAACTGTACATCCTTTCCTATATTTAGATATTTCAGTATTACACCAGAAACTCTACACAAAAATTTACGACAAAAGGGATGATTTTTCTTTCCCTATTGTTAATTTTCCCTTTTTGGACGGTGATGTTCCTTTGGCACCGTATTACAGTGTTTATATATCCCAACTTGTTCGCTATGCTCGTTTCTGTAGTGAGGTTTTGGATTTTAATGAGCGTAATCTTTGTATTATTGGTAAATTATTAAGTCAGGGATTTCGTTACCACAAATTACCTAAAACCTTTACTAAATTCTTTCAAAGATTTGGTCTGCAAGTTTGGCTGTACCTGTAGAAAACTTATTTCAAACGTAATAGCACATCCTAAATTTTACGGTGATGTTGTAAACCGAGCCCGGAAATTTAGAATTGATCCGTGTAAACTTATCAATCCTTTAAATAAATTTATTCTAAAAGGTTACCTATTCAACACTGTAACTAAATCTTTCAATATTGTTTTTATTGGTATAAAAATTGATTTTGTTATCAGTAAATTAAAACCATACTAAATACTACACATATGTACTTTCACGGTACTACAATCTGTCGATACCTATTCGATCTTAGGAATATTTTTTTAAGGAAACAGTAATGATGATCAATGCAATAGGTTAGTAACTTTTCAAGTTATGGAAGGGATTCGGCCAATCAAACAATATCTCTCAATTTGAGTAGTTTTTATAACTTTTAAAAAAGAGTTTGCGTGCATTTAATATCTTGGTGATCAACCTGTGTGTAACCAATGTGTTAATTTAAATATGCATCAAAGGCACAATTTTTGATTCTCTACCTTTGTTGTAATTCACAAAATTCATTAGAATATATAAAATACAGGCCAAATATATACAAGTTTTATCCCTTGTAAAAAAAAAATTCAAATTGAGGCGGATTTTTCAGATATCGGCTGAATCCACTTGGGCCAGATTGCCTTGTGGCCGGTCGGACATGAAAGCTCTGATTTAACTTGCTTTTCATATGCCATTATTGACACACTAATTCTTTAAAAAAGAATTTGGATTTGAAAAAGTTACTGTAACATCCTAAATCAGACTGTTGACATAACTTATCACAATGGTGCAGGTCTCCTCTTCAGATTTTTTTACTCATTGTATTTTTTCTCTGTGCTTGCAAATGAGTGTGACGGGATTGCTTCCCTTAGAAATTTAGTAGATACTTAGTCAGCCGTAAGCGGTTGAGCTAAGGAAGTACTTCTTTAGCTCAGTCGGGCTGCCTTGTAACACAGAGGTCCCCGGTGGAGACAAGCGATTTTGCAAGTAGAATCATGCTCTCCAGTTACATTGGCGCCCAACAATAAAAACCCACGGTGAGAAGAAATACCTAGCCAGGTTAAAACATAAATATAAAAAAGATGAAGATATCATCATTATAGAGTATAATGACTCTTGAGGTGGGGGAAGTGTGACGGGATTGCTTCCCTTAGAAATTTAGTAGATACTTAGCCGTTGGCGGTTGAGCTAAGGAAGTACTTCTTTAGCTCAGTTGGTTAACGCACTGCCTTGTAACACAGAGGTCTCGGTGGAGACATGCGATTTTGCAAGTAGAATCATGCTCTCCGGTTACATGATATTGTCATTATTGATGCTCTGGTCGTGATAAATTATCTTTAGAGTATAAATCTTCAATTATGTTGCATGAAGTCGAACACTGTTGGTCATTTTGTTTTTTGTCACATTGTTTGTTCATTTAAAAAGAATGAGCAGCCTTCAGTTTTATACAAGAAAATATTTAACTAAAACCGGCAGGCTGACTAATACACTAATAACAAGGCCAAGGGTATGTCAAGATGTAATTACAAAACCTTTATAGGACATTGAAAGATTTGAAGAGTAGTCAGTCTTACCAACTGAATTATTAAATAGTAGATATGTCGATAAAAACTACTGAATCAGCATATTGTTTTGTTCTCATCACAGTAGCTTTTCATCGCCAGCCATATTTATTTCCCAAAATGTACTATATTTATCAACCAATCAAAAGAGTTTACGTTTTCATTCGGGTGTCTCTAGCCATATGCATTTTACAATGTTAAATTCGTGGGTTACACTAAAGACCTATACGCATAATTTAATGGAAATGTTCTAGAATGCCCTCTTTATATTTCATCAAGAGTAGAAACATAATTGATTTCAAACATTTCAAAACATGAGAAATATAAACTTAGAAAAAAATTGTATTGGGACCATGACAAATGAAGATTTATATTTTCACATTATTTAGTTTGAATCTAAACACAAATGTGCATTAAAAGATGGGGAAAAAGAGATACATATATATGACAAATATTATCATATATTTAACAAATGGAATTATCCCTCTTTGTATTGGTTCTACCAGGATGTATGTATGGATCCTTTCATTACAGGCGGAAACCCAGTTGAAATAGAACAAAAGAATCGAAGCCTTTTGTTAGAGAAGGCGATAAATGCTTACTGTAATGTTTACTGTAGTAACTCAAATTTTAAAAGTTAATAGAAACAAATAAAATGACAGTTTTTGGCTAAATTACGGAATATTTTATCATAAAAACACAATTTGAATAAGTTTTCAATTTATCTATTACATAATTAAGCAGAACAATTAGTATCAGGCCGACGACATGGGTGTCTATTAAGTTGGATCTTAAAAATGCATAACCTCCGATTTTTCAAAAAAAATAACCACGGACGGAGAACATATCAATCTATTTGTTCCTTAATTTTCGTTTCTGCCCTTCCATTATGTGACTCAAGAAAAAATTCCAAAAAAATGGGTAACAATTGCGTCGAAAAGAGAAAATCGAGCGCACCTTTTTATGTTAGGGCGTGTTTGAGTTGAATACTTTGTCTTGAAAACGTAAAAAGCAAAAGTATTTGATACACCATCTCGCTTCAGATTCTATCATTTTTATATATCAAGGCTACAGGTTGACTTTATAACATCAAAAATTCACAGTACTAAAAAAATGAAATATATAGGTCAAGTGAAATACCTTTCTAATGAATCACAAAAACAGAGTAGGTGTGTTCGAATAGCAAATTTTTACTAAAAGTACTTGACGACAGACTTTTAAGTTGGATCTTAAAAATGCGTATCTTCCAAAAAACTTCATTTTTTGTGTGTGATATCTAGGGTTTATAGTCTTCAACCACTGAAATTTTTTAGTCTGCCCTTCCACGAAATATTAAATTAAATTTTTTTTAAATGTTTATGAATTTTCGAAAATTCCACCTGACAACCGATCAGACAATAGTTTTAAGTTGACTGAATGCAGACAAGTACATTAACTGATGCTCATTAGCTAGTAGATACATTTGTCTTTTAAAATACACATACACAAGAATCAGGGACAGCTCAGCGGGGGTAACGTTATCAGTGACCAACAACGGATCACTTTTGGAAAGATAAAATTTAACATTGTTGTTATGGAAAAAAACATGACAGTTGCTTTAAAATGATTTGTCAACATTTTATTTGTACAATCATAAACTATTGCCATGGCAGGTGAAAAAGCTATTAGATTTATCTTTATTTTGATGTAAAAAAAATTATTTTATGTTGTTTCAAAGTGGTGTCCCTAATGATTTGAAAACTTCCCATGAAAAGATACGTTTTTCCTACATAACTTAACCAAATTCAATGATGACGAGTGGTAGTAAAAAATTCCTATGAAATTCATTATTGCAGTGACATTATTTCGCCATGTCCCATGTTATTTTTGTATAATTCTTCTTTCTGAAGGTGCAAAAAAAAATATTTTAAGTTTACATTTGATGGTGTCCCTGGAAGTTTGAATATGGTGATTATTTCGTTATCAAACGTCAGTTAATGTATACGTATATCTATACGTACCATATTGGGAAAGACAGAAAATGATTGATATAAGATAGCGTCGAAACTTAAAAAAAAAAATAATAATAATAATATTAATCATTTTTTAATTATTGTTTAAAATAAATTCATGATGACGAAAATGTTAAATTGAATTTTAGTCCTGATTAAAAATTGTTGAAATTTTAAACATTATCCGGATAATTTAAATATATAGATAGAACTTAAACACATTTTGTATGATTAGAAAATTGCTAATGAAATACAAAGAGCTTATTTGCAGTACACACCTAATGACAAAGGAAACAATGTGAAATTTGAAATTCTGGACTAAAAGTTGGATGGTGAATTATTTAAAAATGCAAAGCATTTGTGTATTGCTATTAAAGTTTTGTAGGGTTCGGGAAAAGTAACATCTAATTGTTTTTCTTTCTCGTAAACACTTATTATGTATAATACATATTTTATTTATTGGAAGGAAAAAGATATGTACAAGTATCGTTTATTGTGTTCTTATCTTAACCATATTAAGGTGTGAATTTAAACAATAACCACCCGCTGTTTTATCATCTGCCAGCTATTTAATTAATGAAAGATGTAGACCGACATTCATGCTGATTTTGAATATCATTTGACAGTACTAAAAGTTTAATGTACACTTAACGTATAACGCCGTCAACTTCTGTACTCCGGGATGTTTATACATGAACATATATAGCCCCGTCTAGCATGTCTAGTGTGCATGAGAGATTTAACTAAAATTTTGAATGTTGAAATATTGGAATAATTCGTTCATTGTTGAAGAATTGGTAAATGAAATAGCAACCCAACTATGCACATTAATAACTTAGACATCTAGAGAGCAAAATATAGCCTTCTCCAAAAGTCAGGCTCTTACAGGGCAACTTAAATACTCAACAATAGACATGCCTTTATAAAAATGTCGAGATCTAAATCGCCCAGAGTCTATACGTTCAATGGGAATTTAAAAAAAAACTATGTTGTGTTTGCTTACATCCTCTTTTTTCAGTCTCTGGTGGATTGTTTTCTAATATTGACAATAATACCACATCTTCTTATTTTTCTTAAGGTCTCTTATAAACATAAACACTCTCCAAATAACGAAAAACAAATAAGATATGACATACGACAACTACTTACAAGCGGTCCCCAAATTTGGACAGGTACTAGTACATGTATATGGAAATGTGTTCGAGTTAAACTTACTTTTGTAGGTCTCAATCTCACCCTTTTGAATCTCAGTATAGATTAACAGAAAATACAAAACAGACAAGTTCTAGAAAAGAACTTAACTCTGGTTTGTCGGTATAAAGTTATGCCACACATCTTATTTTGGTACCGAAAATTTGCTATCCTATGCCTTTTTTCACTGTTAATCGTCTAAGTTCCAATTCGCCTCCTATTGGTGTCTATATAAAAATGACCGTTCCACATGAGTGCATATTAAATATTTTTGAAAATCTACTTTGCCTTCTGCTTACCGGCGGGCTATGTGATTACAATTTTTTTTTGGATAGACATGTCTTGATAATGTCTAAAATTCAAAGAACCCTCGTACAATGGCTGTATAAAAAGTTGTATCTAGCAGACCTATAATGCTTTTTCATGAACTTATTTAGCGATTTTGTAGGTAACATATATGAAAACTTTTTTTTAAAACTTGCTTGAGGAAGACGGAAAACGATCCCGGATACACATGTGAAGATGAAGCTCTATAGTTTATTGATAAATTTAGATTCACACCGCATATGTTTTCGAAATTCATGCGTTTCCTATGAAATTGTATTGTGTCTTGTTTTTGCATATTACTTCCATCTTTTCTTTTCAATATGGGTTTATGTTAAGAATAAACATCATTATCTAATGGTTAAACAGATACAGCGAAAATTGACACGAAGTAGGCAAATATTTCGAAAAATAGGAATTATACCAACCTGTATGTATTTCACACTAGTAAAAAAGAAGGAAAAACGTGAGATTGCCTTTTTAATGTACCCCTTTAAAATTATTGTAGCCTTAAAATTGTCAAAACTTATCAAATCGACTTTCTAAAATTCACAGGTTTAGTCTTTTTTACCCAGATCTTCTTTAAAGCGTCTCAAAATCGAAAAATGGATTTTTTAAGATTAGAAAAAAACCCACCGCTATTTTAACTAGTTCCGATTTTAGTCTTTTTTTTTAACTATATTAGAACATAAATCAGGCCATTTTTTTTTTTCTCTTTTAAATGGTTTCTCATTTTTTCATACCGGGGCATTTTATAACATAACTTTTTATAACATGTATAACTGGGTTTTACTCATGATTGTTGAATGACGTACAGTGTCCTATAGTTGTTAACATCCTCGTATTTTGTTCTTTGAATTAACGGAAAGTTTTCATCATACCACATCTTTTTATTTACAAGCCAATATATCCATTTGTTTAATTAAGATAATACTTTTCAAATGTAGGACATAAAAGCCCCGGACTTGAAGATGGTACCAGAAAAAAAGTCAGGTTAGAGATAGTTTGTCTCTGATTTACAATGTGAAAAACTTATTTCATAGTAATATTTTGTGTTTTCTTGAACATTAATAATTATAAGTATAAACAACTATGTAAACAAAATCAATTCACGGTAAAAGAATTCATAATGATCTAGTGATTATTTAGAAAATAGGCTGCGAAAATTTGTTATTACTTGACTGGCTTTATGGTACCAAGAAATATATCCTTTGCATGAATAAAATTTGATAAGTCTTCATTTATCAATTCTAACGAACAATATCCCAAGCTGTATAATGAATTTATGTGATAAAAAGAAAGTACTTCAATAATTTAAGCTTCTCTAATATATTCAAACGATAGTAAACAGTTTTACTATTTAAATGTGAATTTTTGTCCTATCAATTGTGTGACGGTCAGGCGTGGGACTTTGTGCCATTTACTTGCAACTCAGGACTGTGAAAAATTACTTTTACTTATGACCTCATAATATTGTAAAGTCAATCGTTTATGGTTTCAGAGGCGTATAAAACAGATAGTAAATACCTTTTTCAGATTTTTTTTTACTATAATCAAGAAGGAAAAAGAAGATTCTCTTGAAAGAAAGATTTGTAATTATGCCAAATGAAAAT